TTATTTCGTTTAGACCAACCCGACCCATTACCTGCATGATGTCAATTTATGCTGATTTAGACTTGTAAGTATCATGGATTTAGTGCTCCATAATCCAAAATGTCTTTGTTGGAGGTTAAACCGTCACTTTAACCCAAAATATCTGAGTTGTATTTATTAATATATGTGCTTTTTTTTTTGTTAACATTCATACGTGTGCAACTATTAATACAAGAAATATGATAGAGTTGATACTAGTTTTGGGGCTTGCATGTTAAAATGGTTATGCTCCAAGCAGCGAAATCTAAATGAATTGATGAAGAAGATAACAATATTTTAGGATAGGCAAGATATTGGTACTTTAAAGTAGGAAACCTAAAGGTTTCCCTTAAGAATTCCCAGCATCGCACAAAATTGTTAGATTCAGATGATCGAATGATCCGTGCTTAAAAAAAAACGCCAACGCCTGCACTGGCTCCAAGCCAAGATCCCTCTGAGCTCAAGTAACATAACTGTAATATAAAGATTTGGAATGTAAATATGTGATGAGTACTTATATCCCAAGTTCAGATAAGATTATGTTAGTTTGATGTTACAAGGGAAGCTAAGATGTGTTCGGTACATAAGACAACTCAATTAATCGTCAATCCTTTTGCTAGGATGAAGAGACATTTGGCGGTAACTAAATTTGGAGCTGACAATTATGCCCATACAAGAATTTGATGAGATTATTTATTTAGACAATAGTAACATGTAGACGCTCACTAGAGAAGAGAAATTCAGTTTTATGTGGTCCTTTGTGTAGGCTAGGTAGTGATGGGAGAATTATATCGTAAGGGCTTGTTTGGTGAAGGGGTTAAACTTTATCCTAGTAAATTTTCTTCTAACTTTAACCATATTTGTTACTTTGTTAAAATTTTATCAAGATTAAAAGTTTACCAACATATGAGGATAAATTTTAACAAAGTGAAGGGGTAGGATAAATGGGGGAAAAGTTTAAGCATGAATCATTTAACCATGTGCGATTATGAATTACTCCCAAAAAAATTCAAAACTTTCAAACAAGCCACAAAAATTAAAAAATTATAAATATCCCCTTGTAAAATTGAAAATTACAAATAACCCCAACAACTCCAAAACTGTAAAAAAGCTATCAAAATTTTCAAAAAATTTAAAAACATCTTAAAAATTCAAAACACATAAATAACACTTAAAATTTTCAAACCTTATAAGAAGCCCACTAAAAATTATTGAATTTACAACTTGAAATGTTGAAAATTAAAAAGAAACACTCTAGAAAACCAAATTAAAAAAAATGAAAATTTTAATTCTAAAACATTACAATGAAAATCAGGAAAGTACAAACAGCCCCAAAAGTTTTGAAATCTGTAGAAAACACCCTAAAACTTTAAAAACTTGTAAAAAACTCCATAAAAATTATAAATTTTAGAAAAAACTGAATATTTTCAAACATAAAACAACGCACAGAAGATCTAATACTTAAAAAGAGACCCTTGAAAAAAATTTAATTTGTAAGAAACACCCTTAAGCTTTTAAAATTTGTAAAAACCCTCAAAATTTTTAAACTTACAAAAAAAGATTGAAAATTTCAAACCTAAAACAAAAACACTGAAAATGCATGAATTGCAAATAGCCCCTAAAATTTTAAAATTTGCAGAAAACACCATAAACATTCAAAGTTGCAATAAACACCCTCAAAAATTCAAAATTTGCAAAAAAATTTGTGAATATTTCTAATCTACAAATAGTACATTGAAAATCTTAGAATTACAAATAGTTCCCTAAACATTTTGGTATTTGCATAAAAATCCTAAAACTTTTAAATCTTTAAAAACATCCTCAAAAATTTAAATTTGCAAAAAGAGCTTGAAAACATCAAGCCAAAAGCAAAAGATCTATGAAATTCAAATAGACCCCTATAATTTTTTGATTTGCAAAAACACCTTGAAACTTTCAAAAGCTGCAAAAACCACTGTAAAATATAAAATTTTCTAGAAACTCTTGGACATTTTTTTATCTACAAACAGTAAATTGAAAATCTAGGATTACAAACAACCCCTAAAAATTTTAAAATTTGTAAAAAACACCCTAAAAGTTTCAAAAATTTTAAAAAATATCCTAAAAATTTTGACATTTACAAGAAACAATCTAAATCAATAAAAAATTATGGAGAGTTGTTTTCTTGTAATTTCAAATTTTGAGCGAGTTTTTAGCAAATTTCTAAACTTTAAGGGTGTTTTCTACAAAGTCAAAAGTTTTTTGGGGTTTGCTTGTAAGTCCTATATTTTAGAATATTAGTTGTAGGTTTGAAATTCTCCCAGTATGTTTTGTAAATTTCAAATTTAGAAGGTGTTTTTTTATAACTTTTAAAAGTTTTACAGCGATTTTTGCAAGGTCTGAATTTTTCAAGGTACTGTCTGTAATCCTAGTTTTCAATTTACTATTTGCAGGTTTGAAGATTTTTCTTTAAGTTTTACATTTTTGAGGTGTAATCCTAGTTTTCAATTTACTATTTGCAGGTTTGAAGATTTTTCTTTAAGTTTTACATTTTTGAGGTTGGGAACTTAAAAGGTTTTAGGGTGTTTTCTACAAATTTGAAAATTTTTAAGGAGTTGTTTGTAATTCTTAGATTTTTTTTTTTGTACTGTATTCATTTTAAAACTTTTAGGCTTTTTTTGTAAACATTGAATTTTAAAGTCTGTGCAATTTTTAAAAGTTTTAGGTTTTTTGTTGCAAATCCTAAATATTTTAGAGGGTTGTTTATAAGATTTTAAATTTTAGCGTTATTTGTATGTTATGATTTATGAGGGTGTTTTTACAAATTTTTTTTTTTTGAATATTTTACGTTGAGAGTGGAGAGATCTATCTGATGTTGAGCTTTATTCTTATAGAAAGTTTATACCAAGCATAACAATATTTCCCACATCAATTTTCTTGGAATAATAATTACAACGTTTAAAGTCTAACCCTAATTTCTTTAACCTCATGTGGAACGAGCGAGCAATTTCCTTTGCAAATCATGCTGATGCAAGGAAATTTATAGAATCCTTGGCAGTCGACGAACTTTTGCAGCATACAAATAGTACATAATTTGGAATTATCTGTAAAAAGAGTTACTGCAACTAATAACATGCCGCATGTAACTCAAAAGTTTCTGGAAACTTATGAAAGTTTTAGAGAGATATTTATGTGCACAGTCTCCCCGTAACTCCGACTGTTGTCTCAACTTGGACGCAGAAAAAAATTGTACACAGAAACAAACAAACAAACAAACAAACAAAAAAGAAAATCCCACTGTGTAATAAACGTGCACCTCCCCTGCCAATTCTAGGTTTATGTTTTTCTTTTCGTTTTTTTTAAGGAAAATGATATAGGCACACCATCAACCACACCATCAACCACATCTCCTCTCCTGCTACAGTGCAGTAGGCTCCATATGAAAAATTTAAAAAAAAAAATCATATGAGGCCCGTTACACTGTAGCAGGAGAGGAGGTATGGACTTAGCCTTTTGATGTTGAGGGTGTTTCTGGAATGGACTTGGCCTATTTTGGTTTGGGAGTTGGATTGCCGAAAATGCCCTTTTGATGTTGAGGGTGTTTCTAGAATGGACTTGGCCTGTTTTGGTTTGGGAGAAGGGCAATTTAGTCCTCACACACCCCCAAAGTTACTGTTACGAATATAAAATTTTCTAGAAACTCTTGGACACTTTTTTACCTACAAACAGTAAATTGAAAATCTAGGATTACAAACAACCCCTAAAAAATTTAAAATTCGTAAAAAAACACCCTAAAACTTTCAAAATTTTTAAAAATACCCTAAAAATTTTGACATTTACAAGTAACAAGCTAAAGCAATAATAATTATGGAGAGTTGTTTTCTTGTAATTTCATTTTTTGAGCGAGTTTTTAGCAAATTTCTAAAACTTTAAGGGTGTTTTCTACAAAGTCAAAAGTATTTTGGGGTTTGCTTGTAATTCCATATTTTTAGCATATTGGTTGTAGGTTTGAAATTCTCACAGTATGTTTTTGTAAATTTCAAATTTAGAAGGTGTTTTTTATAACTTTTAAAAGTTTTACAGTGATTTTTGCAAGGTCTGAATTTTTCAAGGTACTGTCTGTAATCCTAGTTTTCAATTTACTATTTGCAGGTTTGAAGATTTTTCTTTAAGTTTTACATTTTTGAGGGTGGCAACTTAAAAGGTTTTAGGGTGTTTTCTACAAATTTAAAATTTTTTAAGGAGTTGTTTGTAATTCTTAGATTTTTTTTGTACTGTATTCATTTTAAAACTTTTAGGCTTTTTTTTGTAAACATTGAATTTTAAAGTCTGTGCAATTTTTAAAAGTTTTAGGTTTTTCGTTGCAAATCCTAAAAATTTTAGGGGGTTGTTTATGAGATTTGAAATTTTAGTGTTATTTGTATGTTATGATTTATGAGGGTGTTTTTACAATTTTTTTGAATATTTGACGTTTGAGAGTGGAGAGACCTATCTGATGTTGAGCTTTATTCTTATTGAAAGTTTATATCAAACATATCAATATTTCCCACATTAATTTTCTTGGAATAATAATTACAACGTTAAAGTCTAACCCTAATTTCTTTAACCTCATGTCAAACGAGCGAGCAATTTCCTTTGCAAATCATGCTGATGCAAGGAAATTTTCAGACTCCTTGGCAGTCGCCGAACTTTTGCAGCATACAAATAGTACATAATTTGGAATTATATCTGTAAAAAGAGTTACTGCAACTAACATGCCGCATGTTAACTCAAAAGATTCTGGAAACTTATGAAAGTGGGGAGATATTTATGTGCACAGTCTCCCCGTAACTCCGACTGTTGTCTCAACTTGGACGCAGAAAAAAATTGTACACAGAAACAAAAAAAAAAAAAAAAAAAAAAAAAAAGGAAATCCCACTGTGTAATAAACGTGCACCTCCCATGCCAATTCTAGGTTTATGTTTTTCTTTTCGTTTTTTTTTTTAACCTGCCAAACCCCTAGAATGCCCAATCTGAAAGCGACACCCAAGATCAAGTCAAAATATAATAAATCCCCATTAAAAAAAAACCCCACCTTAATGGACCTCCATTTCCCGCCATCAATTATAGCTAGAGCCTCCATTAATGAAGGCGGTTGGCGATCCGTTCATGCCTTTATTACCCATCCCCACTCATCACAACTCCATGATCACTCTCTAGCGAGCTCAAAGATCGAATCTTTATGCTCTTCTGGGTCTGATTTCGCTAGATTAGGAGAGGAAAGATATGGGGTCCAGAGAGATTAGGTCTTCGGAGGGCTTGCCGGAGAAATCTCCGGCTGCGGTGGGGAGGAGGAAGCTGGAGAGCTATTTCATGGCGAGCGAGGAGAGGAGGACGCCGGCGGAGATCATCGGGGGGGATTATGTGGTGGGCACGACGCCAGTGAATATAAAGGGGAAGCCTATTGAGGATTTGTCAAAGACTGGGGGTTGGCTTGCTGCCTTCTTCATTTTCGGTAATGATTTGTTTTATGAGGAGAGAAGTAATTTCGTTGATGTTGCTTTGTAAAACTTCGACATCTTTAAGTAATTGAGTTCTGTTTTTATTGATTATCCTGTTAAATAGCCTGTTTTAGGAGGTGTCTGATGATATTTACTTCACAATTTTTATTTTGAATATATCAAGTAATTGCGTCTTATTAACTGAAAACATGATCCCTGGTAGGTTAATGTGTTGGGTTGAAGAAAAAGAAAGTAGAAATCTTGTAGAGTCAAAAGTAGTTCATCTTGTTGTCTTGTTGCTATTTTCGTCTCCTTTTCGCCTGAATTTACCAAACTTGTAGCCTTTTCCCCCTCACAGACCTCTTTTACTGTGTATATTTAAGTGTAGAATGAGGTTTTGTATAGCTCCAGTTCACCTCTTTTATTGTGTTCATCTTTTTGTGTTGGACGCCATTTTCCCCCCTTAAATGATGAAAGAATCACCGTTCTCTTCTTAGCTAACTATTCTTTGTTTAGCAAATAGCAATCATGCTTACAGTAAACATTCTTATAAGTTGACTGTCATATAGTGAATTTGGCCAAAAAATTCCCCCCTTCTGTCCCTCTTGATTTTTGTTCACATTCCTGGACTGGCAACACTCTTAACTCTCTACTAATATTTTATTGCAGTTGTGCCAATGAATTTTGTTTCCCTTTTCTTGCACCAGTGTCTCCATTTTGTCCTATTCTTCTTTGTGACAATATTCATAATAAATTCAGTTTATCAATCTTCCTCAATCCAAAAAAAAAAGAAAAAACTCCAAATCCAAAAAAAATCCCCAAGAAGGAAAAAAAAAGAAAGAAGCTTTTACATTCAAGTTGTAGTGATTATTAGCAACATTTCAGGAGAGTTCCCTTAAGTATTGGCCAAATATCATTTAGATCCTTAATGTTTGGAAGTCATCAGTTAGAGTCCCTAACGTTACCTTCATCGTTAGCCTTTGTCCTTTTTACAAACTTCTGTTATATTTGACTGACATGGTGATGATGTGGCACTGCCATGTTAGCAAAAAATAGTAATAGTTCAAGTTTATCATGTCACATCACTACCACATCAACATAAACTTAGTAAAATTACAAGTTTGTATTGAACCTAGATCTCACTAATTTGTTTTGCAAACGTAGCAATATCATGATAGGACCACGTCATTGCTACATCAACAAGATTTAAGAATTTTGTGAAAATGACCTAGACTAATGACGGAGATAACAATAGGGAGCCCTATGATGACTTCCAAAAATTAAGGACCCAAGTGATATTTGGCCAATACATCAGGGACCTCTACTGAGGTTTTGCCTAGTTATTATCTATTGGGTAAACTGACATTTTCCAGCTTGTTACATTCTGATGTCATAATTCACTACTATAATTCATATATGCTGTCTGCAATTGTTATTTTTAACAAATGTAGTCATGCACATACTAAAGAACCCTTTTGCCATTGAGTTAGATCTTGACTGTTATGGTGAATTTGCTCGTAAATTCCTCTTTTTTGCTCCCTTGGATTTTTTTTTGTTGACTTTCCTGAACTGGCGAAGTTCTTGACTCACTATTGACACTTGCTTGTTCTAGATTAATTATAATTTTCTTTTTGCCTTAGTTGAGTAAGATTCACTTGAAGCTTAGCAAAAAATATCTCTTTGCTTTAATTTGTAAGTTTTAAGATTATAGAACGCGCATTTAATTTTGCCTGTGTTTAATAAGTTGCATAAGAAAACATGTGTAACATTGTTGATTTCTTATATAGGCTTTTATTCTTTTGGGTTTTAGACACACACTCCTTCCTTTTCCAGTTTAACTAAGACAACTACCTTATCTCAGTGAATTGGTTAAATCTTTCTTTATTTCAAATTTTTTTATATTCTATCATACCGAGACCAAAAGTAATGCTTTTTTTTTTGCATATACTCTCATCCATCTCACGTTCGGTTTCCGATGCATGTTTGTGTCTTAGGGAATGAAATGGCAGAGAGAATGGCTTACTTTGGGCTTTCAGTGAATATGGTGACATTTATGTTCTATGTGATGCACCGTCCCTTTTCTAGCTCAGCGAATGCAGTCAACAATTTCCTTGGGATATCTCAGGCCTCATCTGTGCTTGGCGGTTTCCTTGCTGATGCCTATCTTGGTAGATATTGGACAATAGCAATCTTTACAACTATATATCTTCTGGTATGAACTTCAAGAGTTGCAATTCTCTTCTACATTTAAATAGCTACAGTTTCTTTTCTTACAGACAAACTAACTCATTTGCACATATCATGCTCGTCATGGTTGAAGGTCTTTGAATGAAATGTGCTTTTCCTTTGTGAATAGTTTGCAATGGATGAAATGGATAAATTTTGTAATATGTTATTGAAGCAGGAAACTTATTCGATGAGGTTTCATATTGATTGCAGTTAACCTAGGAAAGAAGCTGTGGTACATGTTCCAAGTAACAGTAGTATCTCACTGTATAAAGAGCTAGAAAGTAAGGGGATCCACGGATACTTTATTCAAAGTCTTTGGGGTTGTCTGTTTTGAATTCTGTTCTCCATTCAGCTGTATTTGATGTCAAGACTCTGCTAATTAGCAACATTACATATCATACCTTACTGCCTCCATTCAGCTGTATATGAAAACTTTGCTATTGGTACTTTGATGTATCTGAAAACTTTCAAGTTTTTTTTTTCCTTTGCCTTTTTCTTTTTCTTTTTCTTTTTTTCTTTTTTTTTTTATGTTTTTTCCCCGATTTTTATTGCTGCCCTGAGCTATCTGTTTAAACTTTGTCTACTTTGCGCGTATATGAAGGGTATTATACTCTCTACATGTCTGGTACGATGTTAATATAAGTTAGGGTTAAAAGGTATTCAAATTTTATTTTGGTAATTTTAACTGCTCATGTCGACAAAGTAAACAAGGAAATGTAAACCATACATAGCTTCCATTCTGTGTCTGTAGATAAACAAAATGATAGTTGAGGGTCCACCATAAAGGCGTTTAGACATTCACTGTTCAATTTTTTGTACCTTAGAATTATTGAAAAGTCACATACGTTTAACCACTTAACCTCACATGGAAACGGTATCACGTGCAGTATCTTTGCCTGACAAGGAGACAACAAAAACTTAAAACAGTTCTTTTTTCATGCGATCTAAGTCAACTTTTATTTGGAATAGTAGGACTCTTGAAATAATATTTTCATTTTAATGTCATTTTAATTCTTTTAATAAATGAAGTATATTCATATTTTGTAGTATGAATATGCCTGCTGAAGTGTGAAAATTAACGTTGATATTATTATGTAAAATTCTATGGCAAGTAAAATGCCCGTTTCCTCTAGCTTCACTCTAATCCCAATTTATCTAAAAGTTTAGAAATTTTTGAACGTGAGAAACTAGACCGTTACCTATTTGACAAAGATAACTACAACAAAAAGTCCATCTATGTTACCCGGGTACTTCTATATTGAAGCCGTACCCGTACCGGACACGTACCCGACACTTTCCCGTACCCAAACTTCATGGACACTTCTTGAATATATGCATGCATTTATTACAACATGTACTCAATTATAAGATATATGTGTTAATTTAAAACACTTGTCAAAGACTTCCTGGACGTAGAGCTTACACTTCACATCCGTCTTTTGAAACTAATGAGATACGGGTCGGGTTCGTTTCAGTCCATACCCAAGTTCAAAACTATATAGTTAATGGGTCGTTTAGATGTCTCGCAAAAAAATGAGTAATTTACAATTCACGATAATCAATATGATAAAAGAAACTCAAGAATGTGATCGGAATTTTAATTCTAATGACCAATGAAGCGGGGAAAAATTATCTCATGTACATTATTAATTCAAAATGTATATGTAGTCGTGTCCCCGTACCCTACATTTTACAGTTTTGCCGTGTCCCTTACCCGTACCCGCACCCGTACCAGTACCCGTGCCCGTTTTCATGCAACTTAGAAGTCCATTCTTCTAGTACTGAATCAGTCTTCATATGATTAATGAAAACAGGGTTTAACGGGAATAACTTTGTGTGCAACAATGCACATCTTCACACCAAGTCAGTCCCAATGTGATAAGCTATCCATTCTCCTTGGCAATTGTGAGCAGCCAAAACAATGGCAGATGGCTTACCTTAACACAGTCCTCTATATAACTGGATTTGGAGCTGCAGGGATAAGGCCTTGTGTCTCCTCTTTCGGAGCTGACCAGTTCGATGAGAGGAGTAGAGACTACAAGACACATTTGGATAGATTCTTCAATTTCTTCTATCTCTCAGTCACCATTGGTGCTATTATAGCTTTCACTATGGTGGTATATATTCAAATGAAGTATGGATGGGGTTCTGCTTTTGGTGCTTTAGCCATTGCAATGGGAATGTCGAACCTTGTATTTTTCCTTGGCACGCCACTTTATAGGCATCGGTTACCGGGCGGTAGTCCTCTCACGAGAATTGCTCAGGTCTTGGTTGCTGCCTTTAGGAAGAGGAAAGTTCCTTTCTCTGACAGTGACTTAGTTGGGCTTTATGAACTTCCTGGCAAGAGATCTGCCATCAAGGGCAGTCAGAAAATAGAGCATACAGATGATTTCAGGTAACTTCAGGTTTTTATGGTTCATACGTTTGCATCAATAAGAAAGATTATGTGCGCATAGACACCTTGTAGTATCATTGTTTTGAACTTAGTCCACTTGTAATTTCATTGTTGCAGGTAGATCCTCTGGGTTAAAACCTTCTTTTTGTTGACTCTTTTACCTGGATCAAATTTGGCAGAAACTAGAGAGTCTATCTATGGGTAAAAGAGGCACAAAAGATTTAACCAGGGTGTCTATCTGCAACAATAAAACTACTAGGGCAGAAAGTTCAAAATAGTAAATCTGCAGGGGGGGTGGGGGGGTGCATATGCATTTAACTCTAACAAGAATTCAAGGTAAATGCTATGGGAAGGAGGTGTCTTGCATAGACAAATTAGCAATAAAATAGCATGACTCAAAAGAGTTCGTAGAAATAAATCATAAATATTTTTATGACATTTATTTCTGTTAGTAGCATTGTTTTGGTAGCATATTAAGTGGGACTTCTTTTTGGACGCAACATCCTTGGGATCAAGTATGAGACAAGTTACAGTGTATCATTTTCTTTGATTCTAGCCAATATCAATCAATAGCTAACAAAGCTACATTTCACTTGTCCCATAATTAGCCTGTTGTTTTGGGTCCAAAAGTAATTAACCATATTAAATACTGAGTACTTCTTCTACAATTTTGTAAATATTTGAACATATTAGGTAAAACCCACCCTTTCCTTTAGATTTAGAGGGGAGAAAATTTCTTGAAATATGGAAGTAGCCAGCCGTGAGAAAATTGACTTGTTTCTGCACGATGTTTTACCAACACTTGGTATGTCGCCCTTTGTGTATTTCATGAATACTATTCTATTAACAGTGTAAGTCTGTAAGTCGAAAGACGTGACTGTTAATTTAGTCAAAGAGTTGGTTCTTAACAGAGCTTAATTGAAGTCAATGAAGAAAATGATGAGTTGAGAAAAATCAAGCATTGTATAATTGCAAATTCCATGAGGAAAATAGAAAATGGTCTGTTGATCCCGAATATTGCTAACATTGTCAACCAAAACCGAATAATGTTTTTTCTTTGTTGTTGTTAAAAATAACTTTGTTTCAAAAGAGGCAATTACTCTCTGATATACAAGATGCTCATGGGAATTATATTTCAAAATAAGCATGGAATTACAATGTACAATGTGATAGACCACTTAATCAATTTTCCTTTTAATTCTCTCTCGAAACCCCAGGTTTCTTGACAAAGCAGCTCTACAACTGAAGGAAGACGGTCCGAACCCTAGCCCCTGGAACCTCTGCACGGTAACACAAGTCGAAGAAGTCAAGATCCTACTCAAACTTCTACCAGTACCAGCTTGTACTATAATGCTCAGTGTTGTCCTAACCGAATACTTAACTCTCTCGGTTCAACAAGCTTACACTCTCAACACCCACATGGGCCATCTTAAGCTCCCAGTAACTTGCATGCCCGTCTTTCCTGGTGTCAGCATCTTCCTCATCCTTGCACTCTATTATTACACTTTTGCCCCTCTAGCTCGTCGCATCACAGGCCACCCTCAAGGAGCAACTCAACTTCAAAGGGTAGGGTTGGGCTTAGTAGTATCGATCCTCTCTGTTGCTTGGGCGGGAGCTTTTGAGCGGTACAGAAGGAACTATGCTGTAAGGAATGGGTATGAAGCTCTGTTTTTATCTGCTATGCCCGACTTGAGTGCATACTGGTTGTTGATACAATACTGCTTGATTGGAGTAGCTGAGGTATTTTGTATTGTGGGTCTTCTGGAGTTCTTGTATCAGGAGGCTCCTGATGCTATGAGGAGTGTTGGTTCAGCTTATGCTGCTGTTGCTGGAGGATTGGGTTGTTTCGTGGCTTCAATACTGAATAATATTGTTAAGGCAGTAACGGGGAATGAGGCTGAAGGGAGGAATTCATGGCTTGCTCAGAATATAAATTATGGGAGGTTTGATTACTTGTATTGGTTGCTGGCTGTGCTGAGTATGATCAATTTCTGTGTGTTCTTGTTTTTCGCAAAAAGGTACAAGTATAGGGGAAGGAATGAAATAGGGATGGAGGTTTTGAGAGAGAATAAGTAGGAGTTAGATTTAGCAGGAGAGGAAATGGGGTGTTTGGGGTTTGAAATGGGTATGTATTTGTTTGGTTAGGTATAGGTTCTTTAAGAAAATTATATGTATTTGATTATTGGCAGAAGGAATTGTAGTGTATTTGGTTTTGGTATAACTTTAGCTTTTGTTGAATGTTGGTCTACTGTGAAGGAAACTGATGATTTGTGTCATGCAAATGTTCTTATTTGAGATTTATGTCACTTAGTTCTGAAACTCATTATCTTAAATGTTTTGGAACAAGTCGATGGCGCCAGTTTCTGAATCGGGGATTGGACCACAATGGAAATAGGCATTATATAGCGCCATACTTTCTTGCTTAAGTTGGATGAGGTATTATTGAATGGTTCTACGAATTACATGGAGAAACAAACGGATCCTTAATCAATTTGATCTGTTGACAAATATGTTCTAACTATAATTTTAATCAAATATTAGGTTAAGAAACAGGTATTTCTCATGTACATAAAGAAATCTTTGGAATAATAAGCATTTTTTACATCTGAATGCAAAACCTTAGCAGGGAAAGACCTCAAATTTTCCTTCATCAATTTCAGTAATTTATGTACTTCGCAGGGTTTTCGTCATTCTGACTTTGTCAGTGCTATGCTCTAATGTTATCCTTTTACTGTCTATCTCGAGCCAGGATAAAAGAGCAATTGCGTCGGATCTCTGATAGCCAGCTTAAGAAGGTGGTAAAAATTCCAAAGATCTTCTGGATCAATGTCTACTTGTATCATGTATCATCAAATGAACCTGGAAGAGAAATGCACGATTATGTTTGTTCTTTTGTATTAGCTTATAATAAATATATTAACTTCTGGGTGTATGTGCTAATCTAAATTGTTGTCTTCTGTGAGGTAGTATGCAATATGACAGAGATATGAAGTTAGGAAGTTGCGTCTGAATATCAGTCATCAGCCTCTTAAGCTCATCAATTAAACACGAATTATTCTGCATGATGATCAGTCCACATGAGAATGACAATCCAAAGAGGCCTGATGAAAACATGGTGTTGATTCATGCTCACACAATAGTAAAATGATATATGAAAAAGTTCAAATTTTACATTAAAATAGCAATTTTAAAGGGTAAAATATACACAGTGACATATTTATTAGAAATAATTTAAAAAAACTAAGATAAGCAACAAATACAGTACACATTGCAAATAATCCTAAGATCTGTAATAAATTGTTAGGTAAATATAGGCATGTATGAATACGGAAATGGATGAAAAGGATACTACCATGTCTAAACACAGAAATGTTCGATGATATTATTTTGTGTGTATGGAAAATATATGTGCTTGCTGTGCGTGCATTAAATTCATCACAAATTTCAACAAATTTCAACAGTGGAATGCGGATGCTAAATGAACCAATTTTCTTCAATTTTAATAGCTAGATTTATGCCTAAAACAACTTCACTTATAGAAGAAAGTGATGAGAGTCATAAAATAACAGGAAATGGCCGGAAATGTGTAAGGTCTGATCATGAAAAAACAGTAAAATCATAAATTTGCTTGTTTTCCTATATTACAGGATCCATGTGATGTCCAAAATAATGCTCAATTAAAAACTGAATCAGTGTCATGGAATATACACGAAATGACCCATATATAACAGGCATTTTTAATTGTTAAACCAGAATTTCATTATGCCATAGAAGTTGACTAAACTTTCCATGATAGAATAAATGATGGAAATAAGGAACAGCGAGAGAAAAATTAACAGATTTCTCACCTAACCTCTGCACATATTACAAGGAAGGATGTCGTTGGTTGGGATCTGGATCCTCTCCAGTTATATGGTAATTGGAGAAGGTACAATTGATGAGGACATTCAGACGCGTGCTCGAGATTTTCGCCGAGTTTATCAGCGCAGGAGGCGCAATATTTCAGCATTATGGTTTTGAATTTAGATGTAATAATTAATTTGAATTTCAGATTTTTGAATTTTGAATTTCAAATTTTGATTCTTATTTGGTAGTTATTGAGCTGATTGAATGTAATTGATTATGAGAGTGATTTGAGGGATTTAGAGGATATTCCAAATCTGTAATTCCTATTTAAGAAACTCTTGTAATCAGAGAAATTATTGAAGAATGAATGAAGAAAATTACTTGTGTTAGCCTAATTAAGTGGTGTGAAACCCTAGGTTAATTAGTTTTCTTTGTTTTCTTCCCAGCCGTCAACTCCTCCTTCCTCCCTCGTGAACACCACCTCCACTCCATCAAACCCCTCTCTCGTTCATCTCTCCTGCAGATCCACCCACCAGCACCAAACTTCCCTCCCCTGTTTTTCCCCAACCGAACAGCCCCAAAGACCCCAAGTCTTCCTCCCGGCCATCTTCTCCTCAAAAACCACCAACGCCCCAGATCCCAATCTCCTCCTCCAGACCCGTTTTCCCCATTCCTGTTTTCCCATATTCTGAGCAGCCCATGTTCCCGTCCAAGCCTTGAGTTATCCGACGAGTCTTCACTTGTTCGCCTCCTCCCTCTGCTGCTACATCCTCTCCTAGACTTGTAGCCTTCGTTGTTTACAGTTCGACGTCATCGCACACGGCGTCATCCACGTCACCGCCCTTCATCCCTCTCCACAAGGCCGCCGCTCCTCCCTGTTCCCTTTTCCCCTTGTTCCTCCTCCACATTCGAGCAGCCTCGAGTCCCTGGAACAGCCGCCGCCGTCCCCAGCCTTCGAAGGTCGCTGTCGTTTGTCGTCCTCGAGCAACCATCGCCCTCCTCTCCTCAGGCCGAAGCAGCACCAAACAGATCTGACGGATCTGGTTCTTTGAACAGGCCTGGCCCATTTTATTTGGGTCTGATTTGTGTTGGATCAGACTTGAATTAGTTCAGCCCGATGCAGGTTTTGTTTTCTTTCGACCCTGTATTTTCGGAACTACTATTGCGTATGTGTTATTCTCAATTTTATTATCAATTGATTGTGCTGTATTCAGTTGATTAGTGAGCGAGCGATTCAGTTGCCAAGTATATTTGCTAGTCTAAATATTACAAGTTGAACTGTGTTAAGAGAACGAACCATTACATTTAGTTTCTAAATAATTTACAAAAGGGTTTGAACTTAGTACATTGCACTTTTGCTTAAAAACCATTGAAAACTGCAATTTGTTCTTGAGCTTCCTGCCTAGATCGATCGCTGATTTGGCGAAGCATTGTTGTCGCTGATCTTGCACCTGCATATACATTGTTTCGCATCATTTTTGGTATCAGAGCACCTGGTTTTAGGTTAGGAAATTTTTATTAGTTGAGTCAAAAAAAAATCATCTCTTTGGTTATTTAGTACACATATTTCATTGCATTTACTTGTTAGTTCATGCCCACCCGTACCGGTCTACCTTATCGTTTAGGAGAATCAAGTGAGTCGACTAGTGAGTCCAGTATGTCAGGCAGTAGCGATCCTGAACTCCATAAGAAACTCGATGAGCTAGCAGGACAATTAGGTGTCGTAGTTCAGGGTTTAGCAAATCTCCGGAATGAAACCAACGAAAAGTTTGCTAGACTCGAAGAAACACGTGTTGCAACCCCGCCACCGCAAGGTCAAGGTTATGAACACTTCGCCCCGTCGCTGCAAGGTCAAGGCTATGGAAACATCGTTTAGCGACCCCCACATCAACCGGTACCTGATCCGGATGCGCAATACCTGAGGAGTATTAAGATCAGCGCACCAACCTTTGACGGCAAGCTCGACCCACAAGCTTTCTTGGACTGGCTAAAGAGCATGGATCGTTACTTTGATTGGTACGTCCTGACGGAACCCCTAAAGGTCAAGTTCGCTGCAATGAAACTTACCGGACCTGCTTGCCAATATTGGACCAACCTCGAAACGTTGAGGCACATTAGAGGTGAGTTACCGATTACCACTTGGCGAGAAATGACCAACGAACTTAAGCAGAAATACCTCCCGCCATCATTTTATCATCAATTGCTAGATAAGTGGCACCGTCTCACTCAAGGAACCAAATCTGCGAAAGACTACGTCGCACAATTTGACGAACTGTTCACTCGATGCAACACCATTGAGCAAGAGGCGCCAATGAAAGTTTTGTCGAAATTTAGAGCTGGATTGAGAAGCGATCTGCAAAACGAACTCTTTGCTAGGGGAATAGACACTCTTGAGAAAGCTTACGCATTAGTTCAAGATCTAGATGAAGCCAAATCCCATCAATCTTATAGGAATCAGGATTTTAGAACTCATTCTTCCCGTGCCACTACTTCTAGTCATCCTCCGAGTCGATCTAACCCCAGTTCTTCCCAGTCTAAAGTCGACCCCAAAGGCAAAGGACCGGAGAAAGATTTCTCCAAAATTGGTGTTCACGTCAAGTGCTACAAATGCCAAGGGTATGGGCATGTTTCTGCGAACTGTCCGACCCGTCATAAGGTTGCTATCATTGATGGGCAATACGAATACGAACCTGAACCTGACGGTGACGAGTTTGTCCATCAAATTGACGATGATACCGATGATTTCGAGGATGATGCAGATGATACTATCTTAGGTTGTCTTAGACAAATTGAAACTCCTACTGTATCAGTTGTCAGATGCGCCATCTCTCAACCCAAGGCTGTTGATGATTGGAGACGTACTTCCATTTTCCATACGTTCACAAAGATTGGTGATAAAAATTATAAAGTGATCGTGGACAGTGGAAGTTGTATTAACGCGGTTTCCTAAGCTGTGATCGCTAAGCTTGGTCTCAAGGTTGTACCCCATCCTAATCCATACAAGGTATCATGGATTAACGACACCGCCCTCAATGTCCAAGAGAGATGCCTAGTCCCTCTTCAATTTGCCATTTATAAGGACAAAGTTTGGTGCGATGTTTTAAAAATGGATGTGGGTCAAGTTATTCTTGGAAGGCCCTGGCTATTTGATAACGGCGTTCATATCTTCGGGCGATCCAACATGCTATTGTTCGAACACGACGGGAAGAAGGTCAAGATCCTTCCGGTTCAACCAAAAGGAAATGATAAGAAGACCGACCCAAATAAATCTTCCCAATGTGTTAACCTGATTGGAGCCAAAGAAATTGATCGTGAACAGGCCAACGGAGCTCCTATTTTTGCCCTCGCCGCTAGAGAAGCTCCGAAGGATATTTCTAACGTGGTTCCCCAAGAAGTCGCTACTGTGTTGGAAGAATTTTCTGACGTCTTCCCTGAAGACCTCCCAGACCAATTACCCCCGATGCGTGATATCCAACACGCAATTGATTTAGTCCCGGGAGCAACCCTTCCCAATTTACCTTACTATCAGATGAACCCCAATGAGCATGCAGAGCTAAAAAGGCAAGTTGATGAGCAGTTGAAGAAGGGCTTTGTGAAAGAAAGCATGAGCCCTTGTGCGGTTCCCGCATTACTGACGCCCAAGAAAGATGGCACATGGCGTATGTGTGTGGATAGCCATGCAATCAACAAGATCACGGTGAAATATCGTTTCCCCATTCCCCGGTTGGATGACATGCTTGACTTAATGTCTGGAGCCACCATCTTCTCTAAGATTGATTTTAAGAGTGGCTACCATCAGATTCGCATCCGTCCCGGTGACGAATGGAAAACCGCTTTCAAGACGAAACATGGATTGTACGAATGGATGGTCATGCCCTTTAGGTTGACTAACGCTCCGAGCACTTTTATGAGAGTGATGACTCAAGTACTCCGCCCCTTCACAGGAAAATTTTTGGTTGTGTACTTCGACGATATCCTTATTTACAATAACTCTCGTGAGCAGCATGTGGACCATCTGCGTCAAGTCTGTGCCGTGTTAAGAAAAGAGCAATTTTATGCTAATCCTAAGAAATGTACTTTTCTTACACAGCAAGTCATTTTTCTAGGATTCGTGGTCTCGTCTGAAGGAGTATCCGCTGACCCTGAAAAGGTTAGAGCTATCGAAGAATGACCCGAACCTAAGAGCATTAGAGACGTTCGAAGCTTTCACGGGCTCGCTACTTTTTATCGTCGGTTTATCAAGGGCTTTAGTACCATCATGGCCCCTATTACCGATTGCTTGAAGAAAGGTGAGTTCGAGTGGTCAAAAACTGCTACCAAAGCATTTGAAGAGATCAAGCAAAGAATGTCGCAGGCTCCTGTTATGCGTCTGCCTGATTTTTCTAAAGTCTTCGAAATTACGTGCGATGCCTCTGGTATTGGTATAGGTGGAGTCCTATCTCAAGAAGGACATCCCGTTGCTTACTTTAGTAAGAAGCTGAATGACACTAGGCAACGATATTCCACCTATGATAAAGAGTTCTATGCGGTGATACAATCTCTTCGACACTGGCGTCACTATCTACTACCTCAGGAATTCGTCATATATTCTGACCACGAAGCTCTTCGATATATTCACTCCCAAAAGAAGTTGAACGCTAGACATGATCGTTGGGTTGAGTTTCTCCAGGATTATACCTACACGATCAAACATAAGGTAGGAGTAGAAAATAAGGCCGCCGACGCACTCAGCCGCCACCTACACCTTCTCTCCATTTTAAGTGCGGAAGTAATCGGCTTTAAGAAAATTAAAGACCAATATGAATCGAGCCCTGATTTTAGCGAAGTTTATACTTTGCTGAATGATGGAGTGACTCGTGAAATTGATGATTTTCTCATGAAAGATGGATATCTTTTCCATCTTCGCAAGTTGTGTATTCCCGACACCTCCCTGAGAGAATTCTTAATTTGGGAATTACACGCTGGAGGCCTTGCAGGACATTTTGGGAATAACAAGACTGTTGAGGCAGTGGAAAGTCGCTTCTATTGGCCAAGCATTAAACGAGACGTTGTTAGACTAGTGGGTCGATGTCACATCTGTCAGCTGGCGAAATAACGTAAGCAAAACACTGGTTTGTACACTCCTCTCCTTGTGCCAAATTGTCCCTGGCAGGACGTTAGCATGGATTTCGTGTTAGGACTTCCGAAAACGATTAGAAAACACGATTCTGTCCTTGTTGTTGTGGACCGTTTCTCCAAAATGGCCCACTTCATACCGTGTTTCAAAACTTCCGACGCTTCTCATGTGACCAAGCTATACTTCAACGAAGTTGTTAAACTGCACGGGCTTCCGAAAACAATCGTGTCAGATAGGGATGTTAAATTTATAAGTTATTTCTGGAAAACCCTTTTGCACAAAATGGGAACTAAACTTCAATTCTCTACGGCCTTTCATCCCGACTGACGGTCAAACTGAGGTAGTCAATCGGAGTTTAGGTAACCTATTGAGATCGCTAGTTGGTGAGAATCTTAGGAGTTGGGATCAACATTTGCCTACTACTGAATTTGCTTATAATAACTCTGTTAATAGGTCTACAGGTGTCAGTCCAGCTGAAGTCGTGTATGGTTACAAACCTAGACAGCCTATAGATCTTGTCCCCGTGTCTGCACATCATAGAGTATCTGAGTCAGCATCTACATTTGCAACTCGCATTCATGACTTGCATAAAGACATCAGTAAGAAGATCAATGACAGCAATGCTAACTATAAAATGCGAGCAGATCTAAGAAGGAAGTTTAAAGAATTTAATGTTGGTGATTATGTGATGGTTCGGATACGTCCGGAACGGTTTCCTCCGGGAATGTTAAAAAGTTACATGCGCGAAGTGCAGGACCTTTTAAAATTCTCAAGAAAATTAATGATAATGCTTATGTTCTTGACCTTCCCGAAGGTTTTAATATTGGTTCGACTTTTAATATTGAGGATTTAGTAGAGTACAAAGGCCCACATTTTAATCCTGACAACCCACTGGTTGATGAGCCTACCCCAGAGCCTATTTCTGAGAGCTCCCATTTACCTCCACTTCCCCAGATATCACCCACATATACAGCACATGACATTAATACTATTATTGATGATAACATTGTTTCTACTAGCAATTGTGGTATCTGCAGGTACTTGGTACGTTGGAAAGGACGACCTGAGTCCGATGACACGTGGCTCGATAGGGATGACTTGCAGAGGCTGGATCCAGATCTTCTTGAGCAGTATGACAACCGTTCTGATTTACACTCGACAGGGTCGAGTTCTCTCCCACCCGGGGAGAATGATGAGGACATTCAGACGCGTGCTCGAGATTTTCGCCGAGTTTATCAGCGCAGGAGGCGCAATATTTCAGCATTATGGTTTTGAATTTAGATGTAATAATTAATTTGAATTTCAGATTTTCGAATTTTGAATTTTAAATTTTGATTCTTATTTGGTAGTTATTGAGCTGATTGAATGTAATTGATTATGAGAGTGATTTGAGGGAAATTTTGATTCTTATTTGGTAGTTATTGAGCTGATTGAATGTAATTGATTATGAGAGTGATTTGAGGGATTTAGAGGATATTCCAAATCTGTAATTCCTATTTAAGAAACTCTTGTAATCAGAGAAATTATTGAAGAATGAATGAAGAAAATTATTTGTGTTAGCCTAATTAAGTGGTGTGAAACCCTAGGTTAATTAGTTTTCTTTGTTTTCTTCCCAGCCATCAACTCCTCCTTCCTCCCTCGTGAACACCACCTCCACTCCATCAAACCCCTCTCTCGTTCATCTCTCCTGCAGATCCACCCACCAGCACCAAACTTCCCTCCCCTGTTTTTCCCCAACCGAACAGCCCCAAAGACCCCAAGTCTTCCTCCCGGCCATCTTCTCCTCAAAAACCACCAACGCCCCAGATCCCAATCTCCTCCTCCAGACCCGTTTTCCCCATTCCTGTTTTCCCATATTCTGAGCAGCCCCTGTTCCCGTCCAAGCCTTAAGTTATCCGACGAGTCTTCACTTGTTCGCCTCCTCCCTCTGCTGCTACATCCTCTCCTAGACTTGTTGCCTTCGTTGTTGACAGTTCGACGTCATCGCACACGGCGTCATCCACGTCACCGCCCTTCATCCCTCTCCACAAGGCCGCCGCTCCTCCCTGTTCCCTTTTCCCCTGCTGTCCTTGTTACTCCTCCACATTCGAGCAGCCTCGAGTCCCTGGAACAGCCGCCGCCGTCCCAGCCTTCGAAGGTCGCTGTCGTTTGTCGTCCTCGAGCAACCATCACCTTCCTCTCCTCAGGCCGAAGCAGCACCAAACAGATCTGACGGATCTGGTTCTTTGAGCAGGCCTGGCCCATTTTATTTGGGTCTGATTTGTGTTGGATCAGACTTGAATTAGTTCAGCCCGACGCAGGTTTTGTTTTCTTTCGACCCTGTATTTTCGAAACTACTATTGCGTATGTGTTATTCTCAATTTTATTATCAATTGATTGTGCTGTATTCAGTTGATTAGTGAGCGAGCGATTCAGTTGCCAAGTATATTTGCTAGTCTAAATATTACAAGTTGAACTGTGTTAAGAGAACGAACCATTACATTTAGTTTCTAAATAATTTACAAAAGGGTTTGAACTTAGTACATTGCACTTTTGCTTAAAAACCATTGAAAACTGCAATTTGTTCTTGAGCTTCCTGCCTAGATCGATCGCTCATTTGGCGAAGCATTGTTGTCCCTGATCTTGCACCTGCATATACATTGTTTCGCATCAACAATTCTCTCAATAATTACCATCTATATCGCTTTCAATGGATTAGATCATGCCACATAAGGTCTTCATTGTTATCTTGAAAACCACTATGATCTTGAAAACCACTAGTAAACTTGAAAACTACTATAGTCAAAACCATTGGTGAAAATCTTACGTGGCGCAATATCACACATTGGAATTGAGATAGACGTGAAGGATTGAGAGAATTAGTCTCTCTCCAATTACTTCCTAGTTGGAGAACATCTGAATCGGGTTGATTTTTTTAGTATGTGGTAACTTCCTCAGAGAACTAAGTCCCCCATTCAGGTTCCAAAATTACAAACCAAATTACTACTTAAGGATGTAAAATTAATTGACTTTTAAGAATCTAGAATCATCAGACGCAAAGATATAACGGAGTAAGAATTGATGCTTTACCTAGGATGAGCAGAACAATACAGGTCTTTCAGATTCACATGCTTCTCTCCTGATGCTACCTGCAGAAAAATAGCATAATCATTAAATTAACAGAATGGAGGAAGGTTTAATCTGCAAATAAAGTATCATCCAAGCCTTGGACGGCTTCAAACAAATAACATGCACACACGCGCGCACACACCATCTGTATTCTAGTCTTTCTACAGAAGAAAAGAGGCGCCTGCAACTGATCATTAAGTGATAATCAAGAGATCACCCAGATAAATAGACTTGAAGAAGATTAAGAAGTGGAATATGATATGTTCAATGCCAGTTAGGCGACTCATGTTCAGAGATCCTCAAATAAGACAAAAATTACCCTCATTCTTTTGAATGCAGAAATCTGGTCTTCTCTTTATTTTTCGAACAGAGAACTGAAATATGCTTCCACAAGATACTGTCTCACCTCAATCTGTCTCCCTCGATCAGGAAACTCAAGAACCCTTTAAGCTCTTCTTAAAAGATTCAGCATCACGTACCATCCCCTAGTTCTTCAATTGTTTCAATCTTTCTATAACCTGCTTCATTGACGGCCTAACAGGGAGAGACTCCACAGTACAAGACAATGCAAGCCTCAACATCAAAACCAAGTTCTCTTTCTGCCCAGCTTCCATCAAGGATGGACAAAAGAAGTCACTAGGCCTATCCTCATGAATCAACAACCTCCCCCAGGAGACAATAGTAAACCCATTTCCATAATTCGAGAATGATGAATCAAGAGACCTTTTCCCAGAAATCAATTCAAGAAGCACTACTCCATAGCTATAAACATCAGCCTTACTAGAGACTCTACAAGTAGTTGCGTACTCCGGTGCAACATAGCCAAAAGTCCCAGCAACATTTGTAGTTGCATGAGTCTCATAAACTTCCAATAACCTAGCCAGCCCGAAATCTGATAGATAGGCATTGAGCTTATCATCAAGCAAGATGTTGCTAGGCTTTATATCTCTATGAACGATTCGGGGGACACAAGAATAATGAAGATAAATCAGAGCTTGAGCTACATCCAAAGCTATCTTGTGAATCACAGGCCAGCCCACATTGTTATTTGACATGTTACGGATGAATGCTTCAAGATTACCACCGGGTAGATAGTTATAAATAAGGAAAGTATCGATTTCTCCCATATGATAACCTATTAGTGTGACAAGGTTCTTGTGACGAATCCTCCCTAGGGTTTTAATCTCCGCGTCGAACTGTTGGAGACCTTGAAATCTTTCCATTGAGAGCCTCTTCACTGCTACTAAAAAGCCTGGGACCAGTTCAGCTTTGTATGTAGCTCCAAACCCACCAGTTCCTATCAAGTTTTGGATACTGAAATTTTTTGTGGCTCTCACTATACTTTCATAGTTTAACTCTGCAGGAGCATTTGAAAATATCACCACCACCTTTTGTTTTAGGCTTGAAAGACGAACAAGCTTCCTCTTTCCTTCAACCAATACAAGGACCAAGATCACAAGAACACAGACTATAACAGAAGCTGAAACAACTGCAGCCACTGTGAATGACTTCAATTTTTTCCCTCCAGCAGCCAATTTTGATGATGGGCCAGTGTGAATAGGGAACCCAGATGGCCCTGTTGAGTTTGACTTAGGACATGGCTCAAGAAATTTATTGCCTCTGAAAAATTCACATTTGGTTGGACTGTGGAGTTGGGGGATTTCACCAGAGACATTATTGAAAGAAACATCGAATGTCTCAAGTTGGGAAAGTGTAGAGAATGACTGAGGTATCTCGCCTGAGAGCAAGTTGTGATCAAACAAGAGAACTTCCAAATTTTTCGCACTAGCCAAAGTTTCAGGTATTTTCCCTGTAAGTGAGTTTCTTGACAAATCCAAGACCCTAAGAGAAGTTATCTCACCAAGCTTCATCGGTATCGCTCCACATAATCTGTTATTGCTGAGAAGAACCATTTGTAAGCTGTTAGCCACTCCCATTTCATCGGCAATGTTTCCATTCAAATTGTTTCCTCTCAGATCAAGATAAGCTAACCAACTCAAATTGCCCACATCAGAAGGAATTCCACCGACGAGCTTGTTATTAGCTGCTTCAAACCTCTTCAGCGCCAAGCAAGTTGACAGAACCCCAATGTCACCCGATATCTGATTGTTACTCAAATTAACTGAAAACCCACTTAGATCTCCACATAATCTGAAGAATTCATCAGAGATTGATCCCTTAAACTTATTGTCATTCAAAAACAATCCATATGAAGAATTTTGATCACTTGTTAATGACAACAAAGGCAATGAACCGCTGAAATTGTTCCAACTGAAATCATGAAGAATCACATTGCCATTTCTCTCACCCTGAATAAGATTTCTATAGTATGAGCTCACAAAATTCTCCTCTAAGATCAAAGTTTTCAAACAATTCCTCTCCGGAAATCCCTTCAAAGATCCAGACAAAGAATTACCACTCACATTGAAGTAACCCATACATCCAATTCCCAACTCTTGAGGCACAAAACCCTCCAAATAGTTTGAACTCAAGTCCAAGTATTCAAGATCCCGACAACTAACCAGCCATTGAGGAAACTTACCAGTGATATAATTAAGTCCCAGGTTCAAAACCCTCAAGCTACACAAATTGCTTGAATACTTCACCAAGCTTCCATCAAGATTTGATCTTGGAGCCCAAAGAATCTCCAGGCTAGGAATCCCAAGAATCTCCGGCGAGGTTCCACCCACAAAAGCATTGAATTCTTCATCATTTCCCTCCAAATTCGTCAATATTAAAACCGAAAGATTCAAACATCTCCCAATCTCTCTAGGGATCCTATCAGTGAGACTGTTCTTCGAAACATCAAGAACCTCCAGCCCCACAAGCTTCTCCACCTCCGCCGGAATCCTCCCTTCCAGAATATTCCGACGGAGGAGCAGTGCTTTAAGATTTGTACACCTACCGACCTCCGACGGAATCCTGCCCACGAGGAAATTATTAGAAAGGTCCAGAAAGTTCAAATTTTGACAATCTGGGCCGACTCTAATTTCACCAGAGAGTCTATTGAACGAGAGGTCTAGGGTTTGGAGCAACCCCATTCCGATGAGTTCGCCGGGGATTCGACCGGAGAGGGAGTTGGAGGAAAAGTCGAGGACTTTTAAGGACCTGAGGTTAATTATACCGTCAGGAATTCGGCCGGTGAAGTTGTTACCTTTTAAGGAGACGTAACGGAGCTCCGTTAAGCTGGTGATGGCGGATGGGATGTTGCCGGAGATGGGAGACGGCGTGATGCCGGTGAGGTTGAGGGAGATCACGTGGCCGGAGAGCGGGTCGCACGCGACTGGCCAGTGGCAGTAGTCGGGGGTTGAGAGTGGGTCCCAGGAGGCGAGGGGGGCAGAGAGGGAGGTTTTGATTGAGAGGAGGAGGGAGAGCTCGGACGTTGGGTCCGCGGTTGACGGTAACGGTAACGGGAGGGGGAGGAGGAGGAGGAGGAGGAGAAGGAGAGGTAGCATTTTTTTACGGCGTTTGGGGGATTCCGTTTGGGTGGGTAAATTACGGGTTTGGCATTGGGAGGAGAGCGGAGAAGGGAGAGGGAAGAGAAAGAGGAAGATATAGAGGGATTTGGGGAAAGATTTAAATTGAAGGGAATCATGGAGAAAAAGGATTTTTACATAAGGGTCTGTTCGTTTGCCTTAAAAAAAATGGGAAATCAAAGAAATAGAAAACTATTTCTAAGAAGAATTGTTTTGGGAGTGTTTGGTTTCCTAAAAAAAGAAGGAAATCAAATAAATGGAGATGAAATGATGTTAGTTGTCACATTATTATTGGATGATGTGAGTGATTTTTTAAGAAAACTAGTTTTGATGTTGTTTAGTTGGCGAAAAAAATAAGGAAATGAATTATAAGAAACCTATTTCATGTAGTTTGTTGATTTCTTTTGTTTGGTTCATTCTTAAAAATAAGAAATGAGATGAGATGAGATGAGTTGTCATTGTATTATTGGGTGGTGTGACTCACACTTAAGAAAAGTGTTTTCACAACTTTTTGGGATGAAAACAAAGAAATGAAATGTTAATGAGATGAGGTGAATTGTTATAATATTTTATTGGATGATATGAGTGATTTGAAATGATGAGAAGATATGAGTTGAGTGATGTTTGGATAAAAATAATATTTTATTAGATGTGATGGAAGAGTTGTTAGATGAAAATAATATTTTATTAGATGTGATGGATGATTGGATAGATGAAAATAATATTTTATTAGATGATGTGGATGAGTTGTTGGATGAAAATAATATTTTATTGGATGTTGTGGGTGAGTTTTAGGGATGGAAATGGAGGAAATAGTACTTTTGAGATTTTCACCTTTTCCATTTCCATTTCTTGGTTTTTAGGAAATAACTGAACAGACCCTAAGATTATTTAGATACTGGTCACTCAATTTTTCTAATAATGCCATATTAATCCGTCAAATACTTAAAATTGCTCACACATCCCACAAAACCTATGGAGCCTTGCGATTTGGCCCCTGAATGATCAAATTCTCCTTGGATAATGTTTTCCCCCCTCATACAGATGGGTTTTGGAAGGAACATACACTGAGGGCTATATTGGTCATTCATGGACCTACAACTTTTGTCTTTTAAGATTCTTCAGAATCAAATCGCATCATGGTCGAAATCTCAATTCTTTGTGCGTGCCACCAAATGGTGGCTTGACACTGTGCGAGCCAGTTTGTACCTCCTCGGGTATTTTGGCTCAAACTCTCGTGTCTGGTCATAGAATGAGGTGATTTAATATGCGTTGGAAAACTGACGAAAAGACCTACAACTTTTGTCTTTTGACCTTCTCCAGAATCAAATCGAATCATGGACGAAATCTTAATTCTTTGTGAGAGCCACCAAATGGTAGCTCGGCACTGTGCGAGCCAGTTT